CTTACTAAAACTTTCCCTGACTGCTCAAGACATTAGTCATTTGCATATGAAAACCCATTATGTGGCAGCCAATCGTCATTGCTCTTATTGAGACGGAGCTCCATGCACTGTATGAAAAGCATCAATCATATCAGGAGTACCCATTCACGTGTGAAATTTTAATATACATTTAATATTCCTTAATGGGCCAATGCATAATATATGCTGTAAGTTCTGGTGTCGTGGCCAGCACTATAAGTAATGAAAAAAACCCTAAAGTCATCTTCATTTTCAACTTTGTTCACTTAGTAAGTCACTTTAGTCAGTCTAAAAGAAGATCGCTCTTTTATCTCTCACGTGCTCAAGGAATAAGAGAAGAATAAGGCCCTGCCCACACGTAGCCGGGGATCTGCCAAAACGTAGATATTTTTCTACGTTTTGGCCTGTCATCCACACAAAAACTGAGTTTTTTCACACGAAAACGGATCTTTTTAAAAACTCCGGCCAAAGTGAAGATCTGCGTTTTCTCCGTTTTGGGTATCTGCGTGTGGACAGACAAAATCGGAGTTTTAAGGTCCGCAACGTCACTTTCCGTGACAAAAAAAAAATGCTGACATCACGTGTGCGACCTGTGTTTACACTAGCCGACAGCATGGATGCCCTCAGAGCTGCACTCGCTTTATCAATTGTCCAAGCGCTTTTTGCTTGTTTGTTTTTGCAAGCGGAATTACTGCTCCTTGCGGAAGACCATAGACGAAAGACGAGGTTAAGAACGGGGGAAGTACTGCCGCCTACAGGTCTGGCATGTCCTTAACAACGTATTTATCCGAGTACGTGTGGACAGAGTTTTTTTTTTTTTAACGAGGTGATGTGGATGCAAGTTTTTGGAGGGGCAGATATTCAATAAAAAAAACCCCGGCTACGTGGGGACTAGGCCTAAGAGAATCCGACTACACAAGAGGGACACAAAATCCATCTTTAGTAACCATGTTAGCGACGTGACTACATGGTCGACTCATAGACACAAACAGATGTGATGTCACGGGTCATTACATCATGGTTTGTTTGTATGTTGGCAGCTCCATGATGAAGGGACATTAGGAAGAGAGGCACCGGGTTGTTGAAGATGGGGGACCATAATCACTATGACACCAAGGGAGAATGGAGGGGGCAGGTGGTCTGTCATGTTCAGCACCCTTGACAGAACCAGGCCACTTCCTCTCTGCTGAATGAATAGACACATGGATGGATAAAGACAGAAATGGGTGAAAAATTAACCACGGAGCTATATCTATGAAATTCCAAGCTATATTTCTTTGTGTTTTGAAATCTAGCACCGTCTCACTGGAGGCATAGCTTCATTCTATTATCCCCTTAAGAATGAAAAATGAGCAGTCGATAGATTTCTTTATGAAGCATTATTTTAAGGACCGAGCCTAGATGGCCCTAAAGATTCATGTTTGTTTTTCTTCTCCATGGAAGATGACAGCATTTGGAGCCTTATCTTTATTATTTACGATTTTCCAACATCTTGCTTCTGATTGGCTAACAGCAACATAACTCTTCCACTGCCTCCGTTCGCTCTGCAACGTTGAAAACCTGATAGTCATCAAGCAAAGAACGCATCAGGTCACCTTTGAAGCTAGCAAAAAAATGTGGTGCTCTGCTACTCAAAGAGCACAAGCAGACAAGATGTTCACAGCTTTGCTTTGTGAGGCAGGATGATGGCATAAATCTTTAGAAGCCCACAAGCATAGAAGTTTGTGATCTTCAATTAGGATTGACACAACTGCGGCTTATGGAGAGAAAAAAATCACCGCAGCAGCTGAAAAGACTTTCCTCTTGGTTGTTCGGTCTTAAATATTTTGCCTCCATGAAGATTGGTGGTAATTGTGAAGCTTAAGAACTGTATGGGAAGTGATCAATACCACAGCTCTGCAGGATCTGTGAGTGTCTTCCAGCGCACCCAAATTCCCACTGAGAGGAGAGTATAGACACTGAGTACAAGACCAGAACAAAGGAGAAACAAGAAGGATCAAACTACTGTGCATGTCTTTTCTAATGTATGACTTGATTGAACGGAACAAAATGATGTGTCTGGATGAAAAGAGCTGAAAGTCCTTCAGAACTATACTGATTTGAGTTTTCTCTTTACTGAAAAAAACAAAAATCAAGAAAGAAAACAGTTTATTTTTAAATTCTGGTGAACAAACAGAAAGCTTAAATATTAACTGAGAAGACCATCCCATAATAAACTAAATAAATGAAAAAAAGCCTTTTATGGGTGCTGCCTCCACTCAGGATGTGGGGTTTATGATCTAAACTGCTGCAACAGTTACTTTTATAATTAGACCAAAGTAATCAAACAGTCCTTGTGGTTCCAGAAATATACTCATTAAAGTGTGGGTATGGCTTCTGTCTCTCACCCTAACCCTCACCAAAATTTTTTTTATAAAAAAATTAGAAATACATACGATTTATGAAGATTAATTAATTACTAAGAATCTAATTAATTAGATTGATTTTTAATCAAGTCACACCTCTATATTAAACATATGAATTTTTTTTTTGATACTTTCTGCAGCAAGATAGGAACTATGTGAACAAGTAAACACCTGAAAAGAAATGATTGGCCCCTCTTTAACAAAGGCTTCCCTTATAAATGGTTTATAAATGTGTTATTATTGATTCTGTAACACTTGTAAGATACAGCATAAATTATGGTTTAATGGGGTTGAATTCCACACCATTTTACGGTGTTGGGAGTTCAGAAATGGAGGTTTTAAAAGCTGCGTCAACATTGTTTTTTTTCTTTTTCTTCCATTACGCCTCATCAGAAATTCTTCCAATTTTACAAACGCCAGTTGTTTGGTGACGCCTGTCAATTTCATTTGCACCACAAGTCCTTACCAACGACTCTACCGGGCCATTTCGGGTACGTACCCCAGTTAAACCACCAAAAAGTTCCCGAGCGTAGTCGTGTCTGCAGCTCGCGCTCCCCACGGGAAAGGGGTCAATTGCGGAGGACAATTTTCACCATACACCAGTATGTGCGAGTACTATGGGACTTTAACTTCAGGTACTCCGTCAATTCCAGAAATGGCCCAGAAAATGGAGACATGTTCCACGAAGGTAAGAAAGTAAAATTACCAGGAAGTTTTGATGACTAAAGCATGCAAAAATGTCTGTTTTTTTAAAATAAAATGCACACTTATTTCCTCTTCTGTGATAGACAGCTGTTTAAAAACCCTGCTGGATTACAACGTTCTTGATATTTCCCACATCAGCAAAGCACAAAACCCACCTGTGCTCCCAATCTGACTGTTGTAATGTAAAACGGGGGACCAAGAGTTGCATTACAGAGGCTGGAGGTGCTCCCTTCATTCAACCTTTGATGTGAACTTCACAAAGGTTACAGTCACTCCAGCCAGCTGAGGAATAGTTTGAAAATGAAACTGCCTCTCACTGCAGATGACTTGGAGAAGGTCATTAACACACACACACACACACACACACACACACACACACACACACACACACACACACACACACACACACACACACACACACACGCACGCACGCACGCACACGCACGCACGCACGCACGCACACACACACACGCACACGCAAACACACACAGCTTCTCAATTAGGCCACTGTAACTGCAGACCTCATTCCTCATTCAAAGGTCGCCTTTACCCCAGTGGCTAATCTCACACTCACACGTTCACACTCGTTTTTTTTTCCTATCTAGTGGAATTTTCTCCAAAGTTCATTATAAGAAATTACTAATAACAATGAGGGCATGCTAATTCATCTCAGTTTCTCTTCCAAGTCCTTTTCCTGTTCTGATCTAAAGAGTAACAGCCCTAATAACAATGTGCTCTATACGACGGTGAATCAGACCACAAAAATGCAAAGTTAGGTTTTGTTTGTTTCCTATTTGTAAAATGAAGTTGAAATGTTGAAAGAAAACAAACAAACAAACAAAGTGTAAAGAAAAAACATTAAAAATAATCAAAACAGCAAAAATATGTATTCTAAGATTGAAGATTAAAACCTAAATAATCATTAGTACAGACCTACTATACCCATGATGTAAGTAGACTACAGTTTATATTATGCCAAAGTATATTTATTCTGCATATACTCTGAAATGTAAAGCTTGAGCTGTACACAACTTGTAAATATTTTCTCAGTGATTCAGGAGTTTAATCAAAGAAAAATCTACTTTTTCTAGATGCTTCGATGTCTCATGAGTGTTTTTAGGTTTTGTTGTCTACTGCAAACATTTATTTTTTACATTGTCTTGTTAGTGCACATTTGATTTACTTGATTTTCCTCTGGGATTAATAATGTATGTTTGAATTAGTTAAAGCTACAATGGTAAATTTGGAAAAGTAATTAGCTTAAAACATTTTTTCATGCCTCTTAACAACATTCTAACATAGTATAGCTATAGATACCAGCTCAGTGGCCTAGTGGTAGGAGTGCCCGGCCTGAGACTGAGAGATCATAGGTTCAAATCCACGGTTGGGTCTTAACAAAGACTTCAAAAATGGGAACCAATGCCTCAAGTTTAACACTCAGTGGGTTTCATTTGGGGGTTAAACCACCAAATCGTTCCTGAGCGAGGTCGTGTCTGCAGCTCACTGCTCCCCTATGAGATGGGTCAAAACTTGTGGAGAACAAATTTCACCACACACCACGGGGTGACAGCTAATGGGACTTTAACTTAAATATATTGTGTAGATAAAAAAAAAAAGCAATTAGGTGGTTCTCCTGTTTTTGTCTAAAAACCTTAGACAATAACACGTCTAGGACCAAAAGCAACAAATCGGACCATCCGATTTTTCTGAAAACGTTCGTCACAAATGAAAATTTTACCATTTGGCATCTCACAAATTAAAATCTCTCTACAGTTTAATGTCTTATTTATGTAAACCTTCATTGTTTTCCATACCAGAAGCTGCCCTTTGCCCTACAGCAGAGTACATGAGTACAAGTGACACATGACTTACTGTCTCCATAGCAACGGAGAGGCCCAACAGTGAGTTTAGCCTCCGAGCCCAGTCTGTTTGTGTCACCAACGGCAACCTGGCTGACCGGCAGGTGTTCTTTATATGTCAAGAGACCAGAATCTTCTCTCCTGCAAAAAGAGAAAAATAAAATAAAATCCATTTACAAGCAGTTTCATCTCATTTTCATAGCTTTGAAAATGTTCAATTTGCTCTTTTCTTTTCAGAAATGCTTTTGCATTTTGTGTCTCCTGCTCACTTTCATTAAAACTTCAATTTCTAAAATAAACAAACACGATTTAATTTGAGATTTCTGTCCAACACAATTACTGGCAGAGCCAACACTAAATATCTTCAACACCTGGCTGGTTCTGTGGTGGAAAATACTCATTTTACACATGAAATAAAGATGAGGCTTAAGCTGAAGAGAAGACAACTGCTCATTTTTGTGTTAGTATTAGAGTTAAATACAGGATAAAGTAGAATATTGGTCAGGGTAACTGTATGTCTACACTATACCAGAATCTATCTAAATCAGGTGTATTTGAACATGCTGAAAGACTTATTGATGCTTTCCTTCGTTTCTCAGCAGCAGGAGAAAAGGAAAACATTTTTAAAAAGTGATAAAGACAGTATTATAACTGACAGCACCAACTACAAACCAGGAGCTTTCCCTGCTCACCAAAAATATTATCTGTCAGAATTTTGACAACTCCCCATGATTTGTTGTAGAATAGCAGGTGATGGTGACTTCTGTGTCTACTGCTTTTGTTGTGTATGCCGTTTAAGGCTAAAAATTTAGAAACTTCTCTCGAGTTAAAATCAAAAAAATTCTTCAGTGACTAGATTTTAATTAGATTTTATTCATTTATTTATTTAAAAAGCACCTTCCATGACCTTATCAACAGACCAAGGTGCTGGACACAACCACAAAACACACAATAAGAACAAATAAAATGTCTTGGATCAAATTAAACAAAAGAAAAAATAAAACAACCATAAAACATTAAGAAAAAGTTGAATGATCTAATCTGAAAAACAGGTTCAATGACAAAACAATAAAAAGCTAAAAGATCAAGGCAGTGTTGTGATCCTTGCTGAAATGCCATCACATAAAAATTAGTCACCAAAAGTGATGGTGCCTGCCTAACTCTAAAGGCAACTTGTTCCATAGCACTGGAGCCAGAACTGAGAACGCACAATCCCCCCTCGATCTGTATTTGGAGCGGGGGGCCACCAAGAGCTCTCGCTCAGCCGAGCAAAAACACAGAAATGGGACATGTCTGTGCAGCAATGCTGAAAGATAAGAGGGAGCAGTGCCTTGAAAGGGCCTGTACACAAGTAAGAGGATCGTATATTTGGCTCTGTACTGCACTTGGAGCCAGTGTAGATCCTCCAGCACCAGAGTGATGTGTGCCGCAAGTCTGACTCAGACTGGCATAGAAGGCATTGCAGTAGTCCAGTCAGGATAGGACAAATGCCTGGATAACAGAGTCCAAGTGTGCCCTACACAACAGGGGCTTGATCCTAGAAAGTTGACTCAGATAAAAAAAAAAAACAAGACCGCAGAACCATATTAATTTCTGTCTCAAACTTAAGGATGGAGTCGATTTTTATCCCCAGATTGCTGACAACTTTCGTTTCAAGTGGCGTCAAAGGGCCATGGTCAACGTCAGAGCCAGGGCCAGAGCAATCTAATCTACTGGGGCTGAAAATTACGACTTCAGTTTTTGTGTCATTCAGGAGTAAAAAGTTAGAAACCATCCAGGATCTAACATCTCTTAGACAGTCCAGAAGTGGAGAGACAGATCCACCAGCTCCCCGCTGGAGTAGAAGATAGATGTAGCAACCATTGTTGTAAAAATGGAATTTCACACCATGCCAAAAAAGGAGAAGCCCCAAGGGTAGGAAATATATATATCGCAAACCAAAGGGGCCCAAAGACAGAGCCCTGTGGCATGCCCCAGTGTAGTTTCACCATAGAAGATGAGGCTTCACCTATCCTATTACAGAAGCTCCTGCCCTGAAGGTAAGAGCGGAGCCATTGGAGGGTTGGCCAAGTGATCCCCCACCCAGTGCTGCAGTCGGTCCAGAAGGATGCCATGGTTGACCATGTCTGCAGATGGATCCAGTAACAGCAAGACAACAGCATCACCCATATCACTAGCTAAATGCATTTAAACTTTATTGACGTATTCTGTTTTCATCCTAGCTGTCCTACTTTAAGTTTGTCATTGTAAAAAAAAAGAGCCTTACAACAAAATTATAAACAGTAACACTGAAACTGAAAAAGCTAACTGCTAGCCTTCATATGAGGTACAGGCACAGTAAAGTCCTAAAGTGGGTAGAGACCTCCCACTAGTGTTTCTAAGTGAACCACCAAAATTGTTTAGTGCAGTTTCTGGCCAGCAGAGGGCTACGGAGTGCTGTCCAATGTGAAGCTGCTCAGGTTTTTGACTAAAGAAACCACTGAAACCAGTTTGAAAGCAATAACTTAAAGTGTTAAAAACTCTTTAGGGTTGCTTCCTGGGCACCACCATCACTCAGGACCTCCAGTGGGAGCCCACCATCACCTCCATTATAAAAAAAGGCCCAGTAGAGGATGTACTTACTGAGGCAGCTGAAGAAATTCAACCTGCCAGTACAGTCTATGAGGCGGTTCTACACCGTAATCATCAAGTCCATCCTCACTTCTTCAGTCACCGTGTGGTATGCTCGAGCAACCATCAGAGACAAGAAGATGCTGCATCGTGTCATATGCTCTGCTGAGAAGGTCATTGGCTGCAAACTCCCCTTTCTACAGGGCCTGTACACCTCTAGGACTTTGAGGCATGCAGGTCGAATCACAGCTGACCCATCTCACCCTGTACACAGTCTCTTTGACTCACTCCCACCTGACAGGAGGCTCCATTCGACCAAAACCTCTCACCACAAAACAGTTTCTTCTGTGTGCGGTCGAACTCATGAATGTCGATCGTAGAACTCCTTACTCCAGTTGCTTTGTTTCAGTCACCTGACCCTGAACCGACCCACTCTGACCAGCACCTACGCTGACTTGTATAGTATAGTAGCTGCTTATCTAATTATTGACTCCCTATATTAACATCATTTTAATGTACTTATTCCTAACAGAAATTTTTGCTTACATTATTTTTCTTGCACCAAGTACCACAGCAATTTCCTAACGTTGTGATTCTTGCACATACAGTACAGTATGGGAATAAAACCATTCTGATTCTGATTTTGAATTTAGCAGATGCATTTGACAATTTCATGTAGCAATTAAAACATATTAATTATGACCAAGAAGATGTGATGGGTCCATATAAATGTGAAATATCAATCAGATTGATCTTTGAATGTTTAATCAGAAAATTCTAGGGTTCTTTGCTTCTTCAGGGGGCCATAAACACACTTCGTATGAATTCAGACAGAGTAAGTATATAGATTATAAAATGAAATTAATTATTTTTCCTAAACTGACAATTTATACATGTCGAGACATGAATAATGAGATGTGGTGTGGTGGATGTGAGGTGTTGTGATGGAAGCTAGATGTTGTAGCAACCGTTCTTTGCATCTGAGAGAAATTGTGAACTCTGGGTGTAAAAGAGTTTGTTGTTTGTTATAAACTAGAGTTGGTTATCTGAAAACAGCATCAGACGCAATCTGTCAGGCCAAGTCTACGCACCCTTGGTGTGGAGGTTCTTGTTCGATCCGGGAGGTCTTGCGAGTCACTGCCGGTGGAGTGAACCTCTGATATCAGGAAAACGTAGACAGTTCTGTAGCGTCATCAATGTCCTATTTATGACCTAAAGGTCATGATCTGCTGCGTCTGCTTGAGCAGAGACATAAAGCCTCTGACAGGCTAATCTACATGAGATAGTGGCCAAGGTCTTTCATGCCCTCTGCTCATCTGAAATGGTTCACCTCTGTTACCAAGCGAAGACAAGAACTATTTTGATAAATATATAATCAACAAGTTTGTTAATTACCAATAATAATGTGAGCCCAATGTTCAATCATTCTGTGAAATGACAATGTTATTACTTGATTTTATAATCCTGCGATCAGTAGTATTTTACAAGTTGCACTAGACACTAAAGACACGTAATGCTAAAGTCACACGACACATTTCCTTTTGTCTGATCCAATCAGAACCTTTGTTTCCGGTGCTAGGCATGGTTCTGTGGTGTTTGTATAAACCCTCTTTTGCATGTCAAATTCTGATTCGCCAGTAAACCAAAATATGACAATTATAAAAACTATCCCACGCCACCTTTTCTTTAGTTCAAAGCATTCTAGAGAAGTCTCGGACAGGCCATCCGGACTCCCTCTTCAGCCAAAAGAACCTCAGACAAGCTGGATAAAATCTGTTGCAAGTTACAACTGACCGCAACGATTCCTTCAGAATAAAAGCTGAACCTCACGACGCCTTCAGGGTCTTGGAGACGCCAGTGATAACCTGTTGTGACCTGGAAGCATTCCAAGACTAGTTTGGTCGGCATCGCTGCTTTTCTACTGGCTTCGGTATCAAAGAGGGACCACGAGGACCTCGCTATTAACAGAGGCTTCCCCTGGGTGCATAGACCGACAGATGGCGTTTCATGTGTGTGATAAATCTCCCACTAAAGCTTAGAGCGAAACATTCACTCCCACTCAGAACTAACTGCTTTTCCGGATCTGCTGGTTCTGAATAACACACACACACACCATCATTCATCACGTCTCACTCCACCTTAGTCCATCAGTACACAGAGTGTTAAAGTTAGTCTTGTTTAAATTGTTAGAAATAAATGTCTTAACCATTTTAAACCTGACTCCCTCCCTTTCCTTGGAGTTAATACAAAGTTTTGCTTAATCCCTACAATAAAAAGTTCTGATCTTCTGGTTAAAATAGTCAAAGATCCATCAGATTGATATTTGATATTTCTATGGAATCTCACATTTTATGGTTCAAAAAGTAGGATGTAAACGACTCATTCTTTACAGTTCCGATAGGAACCGTCCAGTCTGAGATCCCTCGAGGTGAAGACAGGAAGCTGGAATGCTTATTTGCATCAAAGGTTGATGTTTGCTTGGCTCTTAGAAGAGCCGGTTGTCTGGTATCAGCCACAGCATTGCAGAGAGG